GGTTTGGCTCGTCGTTAAATTGCAAGGGGCAGCAGGAACACCTTATTTGAAATTCCGAGGAACATCCTTGCGAAATGTTGAGGGCTGAATTTTTCATAAAATACGTGTGACCTTTTCCATTGAGGTGTATTCAAATGAAATGGAAAAATGACAAACTTCGGCGACAGGAGGAATGGAAAGTTTCCATTCGTAGCTCTCTGGATTACGGACCGTGGCTTCGGACGGATTTGAGAATCGAAGGACCCGAAGGCATGAGAAGAGGAAAGAGACGGGGCGAGCGTGATTGATTTTGCATACGACACGGATTGGACAGGTTTGAGAAATTGGACTGCCTTTCTGGCTGGTTTGCCATCCACCCTCACCCTTACACATGCTGTACTCCTCCACTGCCTTGGACCCCGTGTATTTCTCCGAGAATTTTACCTATGCACGCATATACCACGATGGCCTGGGGTTTATAGATTCTCAAACACTCACATTTTCCTTCTCCTATATCCAAAGGGGGATTGGGTGATTTCGACGATATTTTCCGATGTTTTTATGACTTCTGTCCATACGAATCACAAACATGATTTTCTACTCTGAATTCGTCTATTTTTAATGAAACTCTACATTTCAATATTCTCGACCATAAATCGTCAAGCGTTCCTTTCGAGTCCAGCTTGTTATACTGAATTCAGCAAACTTTACGATCATTTATTCATTCCTAATTTTTTTATTTATGAACTTGACTGTGTTGTTTTTAGACATAACTTTTAATTTTATTAAATTTTTCAAAACGAGGTTTCTATTCTTCAAATTCTTCTCATCTGTTCAGAATTGTCATCGGCTTTTTATTAGTCATGCATGATTTTATGTTGTTCTACGAATTTAAGAACTTGCGAGTAACACCTTACTCATCCAATGATTCAAGATTTGATGGTGATGAAGGCACAGTTTATTCAAGTGCGTGGAATATACCGAATTTTAATTATGGAATTAACTCGCGACTACTGCACTCAAGAAAATGCTTAGTAGATTTGACTACTTTTTAACTACTCTGTGTAACTTAATAGGTCCTCAACTGAATTTAATTAGTTGTATTGACTATCATTCAAGTAGTTAAAACAACTAAAACCGTAATTGATTGACTTAAATATTAGAAATTGAGTTTTTTCGATTATTGGAAGTGAGAAATGAAACACCAAATCACTTGTGTGGCAACGTTTCGGTGTCTTGGTTTGACACCATCATCAGGCCACTAGTTAAATTAAATTTAATTAGTTACATTAGTAACACGTCTAATTATTTGTCAAAAATAAAAACAAATTTTGAAGGCAAGGTATCACCCATCGTAAAGCAAATTAAAAATTTAATTTAATATTTTTTCCAAAAAAAGTTCTTGAATTTTATCAATTCACGAAAAATAGTAAAACTTACAAAATGTTCAGTATACTATTATATTAAGTGTTCTTACTATAATTTACATTTTATATTTGAGAAGATTTAATAAAAATAACCGCAAATGTTAAAAATTACAAATCTTTAAAAATAATTAATTACCTAAAAAATTTTTAAGTTGAGTTTTTCAAATTTAACGTTATTTTTATTTTAATTTCGCTTTTTATTTATGTTTGGAAAGTACATTCAATACATTCACATTAGTTAAAAAATAATTAAAAAGTTTGTTGATAAAATTATTTCTTTCTAAATTATTTAATTAGTCCTTGACAATATTACAACAATTTTTCAATTTAAAAACTATTCTAAAAATTAAACATAATATAATTTAATAAATATGATACAATTTAGGGAAAACGTGTAAAAGTGGAGACAAATAGTATATATAAGAAAATATAAAATTATTAAAATTACTAAAAATTGTAGGGTCAGTTGGGGTAAAAGGGGACGAGAGGTTTTGGAGCTTAATTTACAGTTTTAAAATTAAGTTCAACGACAATACTTTTACCTCAGATCACCTACAAGAGGTTTTGAGAATTGCTAAGCTTTTATCTTGACAATTGGCATCAAGATAAAAAAAGTTATCGCTAAATGCATAAAAACTTGAAAATCAAAGTCAAACTGTTTCGGTATTTTGTCGAGCATTTCAAAGAAAACAGACTTAAAAATCATACCAAATTTTTTTCTTATTCCTTATGACTCCTATAACAGAAATTCACTTGAATTTTTGATTTTTGTCAATTTGGGGTAAATGGGGACAGCTTTTCATTATTAACGAAATTAACAAAAATCAAAAATTCAAGTGTATTTCTGTTATGGGAGTCATAAGGAATAAGAAAAAAATTTGGTATGATTTTTAAGTCTGTTTTTTTTTCAAATGCGAGACAAAATACTGAAATAAAAAAAAATAAAAAAATTTCAATTGATTCAACTATTATATATCTCTACAAATTTTTTTTCAAGTTTTTTCATCCCTTAATACAGTAATATACTTAAAGAAACTATGCTGTCCCCATTTACCCCAAATTTTATGAAATTTTCTAAATTTTGGGGTAAGTGGGGACAGTCAGTTTCATGCGTTTAAAGCTTATCTAAATTTTTTTCTGCTGCATAAAATTAATCCTGGGAATGTAAATAACAACTTAAAAAAAATAAACCCGCAAATATTACCTTTTAAAGGAAGAAACTTACGTAATTTGTGAAAAATAGCGATTTTGTCCCCATTTACCCTAACTGACCCTATTAAAGTTCGTAAATAATTACATACTACAGTTATAAGAAAACAATTCTTAATTGAAATATGGAGATGTCTTTGAACGATTTTGTTTAATTTAACACAGTTTAAAAGTTATATTTTAATATATGGAAAATATCTATCACTTTCATTTGAAAATAATATATATTTGTTTTGATGAAAATTATATGTTTGATTTAAACTTCAAGGTTAGTTTACAATAGGTGCATGTAAATTTCCACTATAATTCAAGTAGAACGTTCGAAATATGCCATATCTTTATATTTTTGACACCTGCTTCACCCTGCTTTTCTTTATTCTAGTTTCCCCGCCATGTACAAAAAAAGATACTATTCCCTGTAAAGTGTCACAATTCAGATGTTCCACTGATTATTTTATATTTATTTGTTAATAAGATTTTGACATGATTCTTAACCTAAAAAATTCTTTTTCCTGTACTTATCGCTGAAAGATCATTTTAAGGTAAAGTTTATTCAGTGTGTATTAAATTTTGCTGTACATATATTTTTATTCAAGGAGCGCATATAATACAAATAAAATGATGTACTTGATCAACCAAAGAATATATATGTCCAAGTTATGAAATGCAAACAGACATGAAAATGTAAACAAACCATGCAAATTTTTTCGCATTTGTCATTTGAATAAACAATAAAAGTTTCTCATTTTCTTTATTGTGAAAATGGTAAGTTGATATATATAAAATCAGGTAACTATACCTTATTTGGCGAATAATTAGAAAAAAGTATACCTAATTATAATAAAATGAAAAGTACACTAAATTAGTAACTTCCACAAGTCGCAACAAAAATGTATCATTGAATTAAACTTAAATATGTTTGACTGTACTTTTTATATCAATATTTCCATTATAACGCGTTTTCCTAAATTATAAAACATTTACTAAAATTTCTACTACATTTATTGAAATTTCTTAATTCTTTTGTCAGCGTAAGTATAAAATAAATTGCATTCCATTTGTAATTATTAAAAATAATACGTAGTTATTGTTTAGTTTTAGGTTAGTTTATTTGATAGTAATTTTGAGGTTAATAATAATTATAAGAAAAAATATAAATATGTCAATATTTTTAATTAGTTACAGATAAAAAAAAACTATATGGATTTGTACTTTCTATAAAAATGTAATTCTAAAATATAGATACACTGAGAAAAATATGCTATTGAATCAACAGCATTTCTGCCAAAGGTATAAAAATTATTGATTCAAAAGTATATGCTATAAAATTGGTAAAAAATTTTATAAATTCTATAGCATATGCTTTTGAATCAATAATTTTTATACCTTTGGCAGAAATGCTATTGATTCAATAGCATATTTTTCTCAGTGTATCTATATTTTAGAATTACATTTTTATAGAAAGTACAAATCCATATAGTTTTTTTTTATCTGTAACTAATTAAAAATATTGACATATTAAATTCCAGTTTTTTTAAAGAAAACATTTTTAAGGAACCAATATAAATTTTTTAACTACATTTGCAGACAGAGGTAAATATATTACTGTTTTATTTGAAAAAAATATAAATATAATTATTTAAAAAAAATTTGAAATGACACAAATAGTTATAAATTATTATAACCTGAAAAATAATATAATAAAAATGAATGAAAAAATTTTAATTGTAAAATTTGAAATGATTTATTTGATAAATTAGATACATGGAGACTTTTTCTTTTCGATTGATTCATGCCGTGTTTTATACGATAAGAGAGTCGTGTCTCGTCCGATGGGGAGTTTTGGTAGCCCGAGCACGCACCAAGGGTGAACCATCTCCTTTAATACCTGCACCGGCTCGGACGGTCTCGCCTCGGTATAAAATAAAGGGCTGACATGCGAGAGCACAGGGAGACGATGACGACGAAGCCAGAGGATCGCGTCGAGATAGAGAAAGATTCTGTGGAACAGAAGCGAGAGAGAAACTACGCAAAGAGAAAAGGGATCTAAAAGGCGAATCAGAGTGAGAAAGAAGAGGGTGCCTTCGCCACCGGGGTGAGCGATGACTGAGCGAGTCGGTTAAACGGGCGTCTTCTTTCATAAATTTCGAGGGGCCCTGGATAAAGGTTTAGAATAAATCGTTCGCCCCGTTATCCACTCCGACGTCGAGAGATAGCTCTCCGCCAAGCGTCGCCAGCCTAGTTGCTATATCTTCAAGCTATTCTATTTTCAAATCTCCGAAACTTTCTTTTTTCAAGTGAAAAACATTTTATTTTACTTTTTTTAAAAAACTATTTTTTATATCTCATCAAAATCGTTCAATTTTTCTTTTTTGTTTGTTACAGCTTTACTTGAGCAAAACGCGTCAAATTATTCACTCGGAAAGTTTGGAGTCATCTTTATCAAGAGGTGTGGGTCTCAACGCACGCAGACAAGGTGAGTTCGATTTATAAAAATAATTCTTCCTTTTTTCATTTTATTTACAATTAGTTTTCAATAAATAGTTGTCACAACTTATGTAAATTACTCTAGCGTAACTTATATATTCTTGAATAAGTTTCTCAACAGTTAATGAATTCTTATTTCCTATTGTAATGTTGATTACCGCACTTCTATGATGAAAATAAGTTAACAACAGTCTAGAATAAAATCAATGATGAGCTATAATGGGACGAATATACTGTCATCAAGTTAAGGCTTGGGGTTTATAATATCTTCCAGAAATCATTTAAATAATGTAATAACTTTGAAAACTAATACGATTATGCCAAAGAATATTATCCGTTTTAAAGTAAATATGAGGGGTTATTAGTGTGTCCGCAACCTATTGGATGAAATATGTATATATATCAACGTTAACGAATTTTTAAAAATAATTTTTTGTTTGGAACATTTGAACTTTGCAAACAAGAGCATCTTGATGAGGGTTACAACGAAAGTTTTTGTTTTTTTAAAGATTTTTTATTAAAAAAATAGAAAAAGAAACAAAAATTTATTGTTTATTGAAGTTTGATATCAGCACTTTGCAGTTGCACTTGTGCCATTTGAAAATTCTATCTAATCTGAAGTGGTGGAAACAAAAGCCGACGTTTCAATTAGATCCCTTATTAGTTAGCGATAATAGGCCAAGGTATAGGTATATTCAATATATTCATGAGTCCGGGCTTTCTAGTGCTTAGCGGAGGTTATGTAAGGTTCTCCAGGGTTGTTTGCGTGGGTCCAGCTCTTAGTGTATATGAAGGGCTGACTAGACACTCAGCAGCCCCACCTACCATGCGGCTGGGGACGCAAAGGTGCCCCTTTTACCGGGTAGCTGATGTGCCCTGGTGTATTGGTTTGGGTTCAGATTCCAGAACCTTGTGCGCATTGACCTGTCGGTCGTTAGGTCGATTGATTTTCCCGCGCAAGTTCGCCAGATAACCGCTCTGAAAGAGAGAGAGAGGGGGGGGGGGGTAAGAGAAGGGTTGGGTGCTTTAGTCGCAAGAGTTTGTCGCGCGAAGAGGTTCCCAGCAGTTGCCTGCGGTTTACCGCAACGATCCTCTTGCTCCACCATCCTTATGCCACAGCACGATGCCATGCCATGTGTGTGAACCCATGGTGTGTCACATGCATTCCCCTAACCATTACCAACTTCTTGTCACAACTTGCTCCTTATCAATGCAACTTCAAAAGAGATATTATTCACAATATTTCAAAGCGGTGACTTGTCCTACATTATACCCATTTTTTAGAATAAGGGACAAACAACCTTTTCATGCCACGCGTGTAAATATATAAATACTAAGCTAGTTTCTGAAAATTACAAATATTAGTAATGACTCTATGCATATTAATGATGCGATTGTTGTAACGCGAGTTTTTCGTGTCGAAATTTACCTTCTGTCACCCCTTTTAGTGCCACTAATGATATTACCACCCTTTCTGATGTGTACATATGTTCCGTAATTTGTTCCTTTTTGGATAGCAGTAGTTAATAGGGTGACCTTTTGCAGCATTGGATAATAATACTCATAACAATTTTATTTCTTAATGGAGTATCACACATTAAACATGCATAAGTTATTAGTAGACTACTGATCTGTGTTGACCAGTGTTGACCCCTATTTCCATAAAATCCAAACTTTTTCAAAAAGTTTGTCTATTATGTTTAATTTTAGGATATATTATTGAGTTTATAAGCGAAAGTGAAAGTTTATTATTAGTTATATATTTTTAGTGTTTTTGGAAATTTCACGGAGAGAAATAGATGGTACGGGGTACTATCTAGATAGTACGACCAGGTACCTTATTTGATCTTACATATACGGACAGCAATCTAGATTCTATCAGTTACTATCCATATTGTACGGAGTAACATCTTGATTATAGTGGGTAACATAACCATATTTTTTGTAACATCTTTGATAGTACCGAGTAGCATAATGATGGTACCGGATAACATCTACTTTTTATCATCTTAAGATCATAAGTACTTGCCATCTATTTCTCTCCGTGTTATAAAACTTGTCTAGTCAAACACGCTAAAAAAACTTTGTATAAACTAGCGAAAATAATCTCTGAAATAGTTATAAGTATAGTTAATATCGCCTTAGCGATAATCCATTTTCGCTAGAATAGAGAAAATAAAATTTTCTATGAGATTTAACTATACTAAATATATATTATGAATAGAATATAAATACAGTATCTCTGAAACAGTATTTATTTTAACTATCATGGAGATATTCAATTTCCTTAAGAAAATGAAAATAGTGACTATTTTACATATAGTTAAACGTTATAATTAATCTATTAAATAGATTTCCTTATTCTATAAATATTGTACTTTTGTTATGTCACTGTTCATAAATTTTTTAGCGTGAAGGATTAGAGAATTATTACTGCATTGGCCTTCAATATCTACTGGTACATATCCGATATTTTGCAGTTTCATGACTCTCCTGTAAAGCTCATTTTGTTCAAACTAGTTTCTATCAATAATATAGGTATATATTCTGCAAAAATTGATTTGTTTTATGTCCGCCTAAATAAAACCGAATATTATCAATATGTGTGATATTAAACACGTGGTAAGAATAATAAAATGCTCTTTCATGTTTGAATGTAATTTTCTCAAATTTTCGAGAGAGAATTATAACACGTGGCTGGATAATGGATGCTGGGCGTGGTAACATCTTGTATTACGAGTAGCAAAGCGACAAATTCATAATTGCGTTAATGCCAACATTGCGAAACTCCATACCACAACCACCGCAAGGTGCGTCTTCGAGAATCGTGCAACCCCTTCCATTTTGTCCCTCGTCCTTTAAGTCGGCTCATTAATCTTCTAAGGATTATTCCATGAGAAAGTATCGCCATTGTGATCATCTTTGCGAGCCGCTGATTATTAATTAAAATCAGTCTTCCAGACTCTCCACTTATCGATTCTTCATGAGCCAAATTCATCTTTTCATTATAAAAGTCATAGTTTCTTCTTTATGAGAAAGTAATAATGAATATACAATTATATTTTTGAAAATTATTTTTTTGTTAAAACTTAAATATATTCTAAATCATGACAATTGTACTTGTACAGCAAGATGCATTTTAAATATTTTGAAATGCCATAAATATACGAAACGATCAATTTGTTGGAAGTGAATGAAATTTGAGATTGTGACGAGTTGATAAAGCAGTTGGCCAATATGAGAAAGATAAAAGGGAACGAAGGTGGAATTGCGCATGAGAGAAGCGCGAACGAGTCGAAATAAAACGTTGTGATATCGAGGCATTTCACGCACGAGCGAGACCGTTTAGCAGATTCAACGTGCGTGCCGGCACTCGGCTGCCTTTCCATGGTAAAATGCTCCCTTGCTCTCTTTCTCTCTTCTCTGTATCTTTTCACTCATACCTTATACTCTTCCTAGCCCTGTTGAAAAATACTGCTCTCACTGACACCTGTAGCTTCAACATTCTACATACGCTCATCGCCGGCTCATCGGCTCGAAAAATAGATTTGGAGAAATCCCAAAGAAATCATCTTTTTCAATGTACAAGAAAATCAACTTTTAAATTCAAAGCTATTGGCATTGTATAAACAATATCTAACAAAACTGCAAAAATTTTGTTTTACAAATTTCAAAACCAGATGATTATACTATATATATTTATTATGAATTGGAAACATTTTGAAGAAATTGCAATTTGACAAGAAAAGGACTGCCGTCTCAAAAGGGTGTTAGATATCGTTGGTGCTTTAACCAAATGAGCACTTTTGCCACGAGAGTATGAAGAGAGAAAGAGAGAAGTGACCTGGGTACAACACAAGGGGAACCGACTCCACAAGTGGTGGACTTTACGGGACTTAAGATTAATCCTCATAATTACCCGATCCTGTTTCTCCACCCACAGAAGCCCTTCACTTCATTTCGTTTTTACACGGGGCTTTTACCTCTTGCCCAGTCTGCCTGTACCGGAAAAAAAGAAGGATGATGAGAATTTAGGATACGGCTTGGGGACAAACTCGAGAACTACCCGACCATAAAGATATTTATCAGGTGACAGCCACTGGTCATCCTTTACGATCCCTCGCTAACATTCACGAGATTTTCCACAGAGAATCCACCCTCTAACATATGCTTCAGGATTTTCTCTTCGACCACAACAAGAATTCATATAGCGTAGAATGCACCATTTTCTAAAATTGAAAATTTATTATCCTCAAAAGAATTGAAATATCCTTTCTGCAATATTTTATTGTAATAGTTGCATAATTGCGAAAAATAGTGAATTATAGTTGGGAAAAGTTTGATTAAACTTTATCTTTTTTTTCACATGACTTCCGCGTAAAAATCCAAGCATTCTCTTGACTTAGTGCTAACAATAAAAATCGATATCTTAATTAGCGAACGTCGTTCCACGAGGCGAGTAGATCCATTGGTGTGTATTACCCGTTCGAGGGTGGTTTCTGGTCGGTGACGAGGGGAGTTGAGGAGAGATCCGGACCGGTAGTGGGGAGGAACAGCGGACGCTGGACCGGAAACACGAGTCTGCGAAGCCCTCCGGACCTCGACGTCCCACCGGAAACGCTATTCACACGGCCGTCTCGCTTTCCTATACAATCGCCGTCGTCGTCGTCGTTGCCACTGATACGGTCCTGAATAAACAATGCCCCGAAAAAAGGTTCGACCGACTCGTTGAAAAAATCATTGACCGGTTGCGTGGTTTTCGACTGGGGTGCTTCGGCGGAAATTCATTTTACGTCTCGATGTACCCATTTTAACGTTTCTTTAATTATTTTTGAAAAATTCTATAATTACTACAGACTATGTTCAAAAAATTCAAAAATGACCTGTCTTACTAAAACTGTTTTTATTTCGGATATCAAAATTATTATTTAAACAAAAATTTGTCCGCAACTAAATCTGTCTTTATTAATAATCTAAAGATAAATATGA